ACCCCCCACCCTGACCCTTACCCTTACCCTTAACCTCACCCTTGGTGTTACCCTTGCCCTCGTTTTACCAACGCCGCCAATTTGGAGCAACGAGCACCTTGATTGACGTGATTTGAGGTGAGCGAAAGGGGGGTGGGGAGGGGGGCATTATTGCAGTCCTTACAAAGAACAAGCTGATAATTAGGCTGTACAATATATCCAACTGACCTCTCGTCTGATCACATTTTACAAATAATTGGCCATTGTATGCTGCTTCAGTTTAAAAGATGAGCGAGATAAAAGGCGACCCTGTAGTCGAATCTTCGAATTTACCCGAGCAGATTGAAAAGATTCTTGATGGTTTCCGAGAGTCTAAAGCCACGTTTGCAGCTTGCGATTTTGGGATCTTCGACAAACTACACAATTCATCGTTGCCACAATCGGCCAAAGAAATCACAGAGATGCTGTCCTCTGATTTAGACGCCACTACACGACTCTTGGATACCCTTGTTGCTTTGGAATTCTTAGAAAAGTCGAAGCAGGGCGATCAGTGGCTGTATAAGAACACAGAAATAGCTTCTAAGTTCTTGATAACTTCAAGTCCTGATTCTCAACTTGGCACAATAAGTCTCTTTAACAAGATGCTATACCCTCTCTATGGTAACTTAGAAAGTGCAGTCCTCGATGGGAACATTCAGTGGATGAAGGCATTTGGAAAGTCGCCTGAAGACATATTTCGGCAGGCAGTTAACAGCACCGAGGAAGACAGCTTACGATTTAATAAAGGAATGCATAGTACGGCCTTCCCTGCAAGCTATGCGGTTGCTAAAGCCGTCGATTTAAGTGCTTTTAACAACTGCTGTGATTTAGGAGGTAGATCAGATTTAAAGCCAGATTTGTTTCGTGTAGAGCAAGAATTTTATTGTTATTTTAGACAACCTTAGTAAAAATTAACATTCTAAGCCACCGTGGTTCATCAAAATTTGTTGCATGGTTAGCAGAGCGGAAAGGACGCTGGACCAGAGAACAGGGGGTTGTGGTTTAATCTCGGGGGGGGGAGGGGTACTGCCATATATGGGCTATATAGGTATGTGCCGCTGTGAAGGGTATGGTTTTCAAGCAGTTTACTCTAGGATAGGGTATATAAATCAGAGCGTTTGGGTCTAGAATAGGGTATCATTTTTCAGGAAACTGATCAGTTGGTTGAAGATTTTATCTAGTCCAGGGATTGGGGTATAAGGTTTTGTTTTGGCTAGACTACTGTGCTAGTGACCTCAGTAGTCTCTGGAAAACAGCTAATCTAGGATAGGGGGGATTTGGGGAGTTTACTCTAGTATAGGGTAGCAAAATTCAGCTGAACTAGCTCTGGTATAGGTTAAGGGTTCCAGGGTCCCAGCGGCACATCCTCACCAAGAAATTCGTAAAGTACCCCCCTGGGGGTTTAATCCCGTGGGCGATCTTAAAATAACTGAGGGGGAAGGTACTGCCACATTCTCGTTCCCAGAACCTCGATCTTCTTGGTCAGCGTCGGGGATCGATCCCCGACGCTGACCAAAAGGATCCAAGCTCTGGGAAAGAGAATGGGTACCGCCATTGCCCTTCAAATAGCAATTCGTTTTCGTAGTTGTTAGGAATGATTGTACTGTCTCCAGCGGGGGTCGTGCTCAACTAATCGTGTCCCAGGGGCTTTGAGACTTGTGTTCAATGTATGAAATTCTAAATTAAGGCACATAATATTTGTCCATGTACATACCACCCTGCAAAGGTAGCCACAGGTAGCTCAGGCTATCGATAAGAGAAGCAGCGGCATCGAATAAACCATTCTCTGTCAACATAATTTCAAAATTTCTAATCATTTTCTTTCATATTTCTTTCCATGACATATCCAGGAGGAGTAGGAACTCTTGCCTATGCTTTGTGTCAGTACAACCCTCGGATGAAGATCACAGTCTGTGATTTGCAGCCTGTTGTAAGCTTAACTCATCACTTCCGACCATCAGTGAAAGATTGTCCCAACCAAGCTAATGTATCCTTCGTAGTCGGTGATTTCTTCAAGTCTGAAACGTTACCAAAGGCTGATTTGTATGTGCTGTCTCGCATTCTCCATGACTGGCCAGAAGAAAAAGTTGAAGTGATTCTTGACAACGTCTTCAATTGTTTACCCTCAGGTAAGACAGAAAAGACTGCAGCTTCCGCGTAGCACTTGTGCAGCGGATCGTCGCATTGCACCTTGTCCGCGCGCCAGGATGCCATTCAAACCCACCAGCATTTATTTTGGTTACCAGTTGTTCCGTAAAACGGAGCTTACTGAAAAACAAGAGCAATAGCATTTTTTCGTGCTAAAAAATATCAGATTTAAAACACATTTCTCTCAGAGAAACTTAATAATAGGTGGCACTACGTACTCGTAGACGCCAACACAAGGCCTGGCCAGGACCTTACTGATCCTCTCCATCAGGGTAACTACCTTTGGCTAACGTGATAAAATAATTAGTTGCATTTAATTTTTTACATTGACTGGGCGATTTCTCGCCCGTGGATTGGTCGAGAGCTATTGTCGATAACAGTACAGACCATCGAACACTGTTGTCGATTTGTTTGGTAACACTGATCCGAAACAGGAGGTCCACGAATTGCGAACTTCCGGCTTGTTAGTAGTCGTCGGAAGGAAACGAGAGGAATAGTTTTAAACACATTAGGATGAGAGAACGATGATTCGTGCCAAGAACATAATGGTAGTAGCCCAATTTTCAGAAGCCTCTGCTTATAACTAACTTCAAACCGATACGGCAAAGACAGAATGAATTTTGCTGCTCGCTGCTGAATTCTTTCGATGTCATGGATAAGATTAACAGCTTGAGGAGCCCACACCTGCGAGCAATATGCGAGGTTGCTGCGAACTAGTGACAGGTAAAGTAACTTGCGAGCTCGCTAGTCATGAGTGTCGAAAGTTAATCTCCGGAGAAAGCCAAGCGTCCTCTTGGCCTTCGAACAAGCTGCCAACACTTGGGAGTTCCATTGCAGATTTTTAGTAACTAAACCCCCAAGGTACTTCTGAGCTTCCATCGCCTTAACTTGGACATCGGGTAATTGACTGATGCGGGCTAGCATTTCTGTTAATAGAAAGTAGCCCGCACTTGGATTGATTTAGATCTATTTGCATGAGATCACACCATTGGTTAATGTGGTCGAGGTCGCACTGTAGGCGGGCACCATTCTCCATGCTTTCGATTGTCCGGTAGCACTTTGTGTCGTCAGCAAAGAGAGCAACAGATGTTAAGGACGCCACGTAAGGAAGATCATTTACATATATGTGGACCAAGTATTGATCCTTGCGGTACACCTGAAAACACAGGGAGGGATTTAGAGTTGACCCCGAGAACGGTGACCCTTTGGACGCGGTCAGTAAGATAGTCTTCGAACCAAGACAACAGGGTACCGCAGATGCCGAATCGGTGGATCTTCTTGAGCAGTAGTTTGTGCTTAACCCTGTCGAAGGCTTTAGCGAAGTCAAGGCAGATGGCATCAACCTGCACTCACTTATCTAGATTTTCGACTATGTTGTGAAGGACTTGAAGTAAATGGGCCGTAATGGATTTGCCCTTAGGCCTTTCCCGATTGCGCTCGTAAAATCCTAGAAAAGTGCTGGCAAAAATGGCTAAAAAGTGCTCAAAATCTCAAAATAGTGCTCAAAAAGTGCTAAAAGTTGTGAACAGTTACCTCTAAGCTTTTCGTAATATGTCAATTTTTACTGAAGTAATTAACGATCTGTTTTGCGTAGTGTTATTCGACAGGTTGTTACGAAAGGTTGATAGAATATAGAACAAGCCTTGCCCTGAAAATACGACTTATGTGTTCCTCCAACGAGATGTTCAAACTGCCTTGTAACGAATTAACACAAGCACAATACCTCAACAGACGTGGATACAATCTCAGTCTCCTCAACCAGGAGATACAACGTGTTCATACTATCACACACAGTCACAAGCGACTCACCCAGACGTATCCCTCTGGTTGTCGGATACCACCCCGCCCCTTGCTCAATATCATCTATTTTTCACAAACACATTTACATTCTCTCATCCTCCCAACTTTGTGCTACTTTGTTTAAATATATACTTCTCGTTACCTTCTTACGTACTAACAAGCCAGAAGTCCGCTAAGTGGACTTCCCGTTCGGAACCAGACTTCTCGATTAATGTTATGGTGTTATACACTGTTCAAAGACATTTTCTGCAAGATCGTCAAGAACAAACCCTACAGGCGGCATCTTGACCGTCTCTAGCTTGAACTGCTTAAAGGGAGGGGGAAGGTTTGGGAACCCCAAGGCCTGCCCTCTCGGTACATTTGAATCCAATTACAAAATGGCTGCCAGTGAAGGTGAGGACTGGATCTCGACGATCTTATAGCTTAGGGAAAGATAGTGGACTGTGAACAGTCTATCAATGTTATAATTGATTGTAACTAATTATTTTATCACGCTAGCCAAAGGGAGTTGTAATAAAACATTTCCTTAGGTTCCGTAGGTTCCGCCATTTCCGCGGTCTGCCGTTCCTCAGATTAGTCTTACCCTCTCCATCATATCACCAGGTAGCATGTTCTTCCAGGCGTTCAGAGAGTTGGAAGCGGCGCGAAGTAAAACGGGTCACGAAAAAATGAAAACGAGGGAGGGAGAGAAAGGTGATAGGGGAAACCTTCGAGCCGCTTCCATGTATCTGAATGCCCGTTTGCGACTGTAAACAGCTCAGTTGTTTCACCCACGCCTCGGTTGAAGCTGTTGGGGTGAGCCAGCCTTATTGGTCAGGCTGACCCGCTTTACCGGGCCTGCTCGGCTCATGCCTTATTTCCTCATAAATTGGCCGTTTTTATGCTAGAGACGTTAACGTCGTCTAGCGTCTGAGACCTCAAAGTCGTCTGTTAAGTGCGTCGTTCGGACGCACTTAACAGAAGACGTTAAAGACGTCTAGCCTGCGAGCAAGCTCTCCTATTTGGGCAAGCGAAGCGAGCCTCGCGAGAACGCGCGAGTGAGGGGCCGAAGAAAGGAGAGCTTGCAACCATCCGTTACAAATTTTCATTTCCACCCCGGAAACCCCGGGACTCCGCAAAGCGTGAAAACTGTCACCGCAAACGTGCCGCAGATTACAAAGTGACAACCGCCTGTCAAGTAGCGTAGAATTATTTATTTATAAATCGCTTTCGCAACAGCATCAAGGCAATGTTTTTAATCACTGATATGTTTTTTTTTTCACGGGGACATCGAACTTCAACGTGTCCGCTCGGATAAGAACTCACTACTTTGATTCTTTACTTCGTTTACCTTTGAAAAGTCGTCCATACTGCAGTGTAGAAGACTACTCCCCATCGCAATCACCAACAAAAATTATTTGTCCGTCTGGAACTGGAGAATAGCGTTTTCCTGCACTTTGTTCTCTTAAGGTTTACTCCAGTTGCTTCCAACTCTTTCTCTTTTCCTTCTTTACGGTCAAGCTACACAGCTACACTGTCAAGTACATGTTTCTGAATTTTTCTACCCAGCAGAATTCAATCGGGCGAAGAAACCGATGTTGGAAGACAGCGCTTTAATCACTCTTCACTTTCACTCTCCCGGTTTTCAGAACTAAACAAGGCGCTTAACACAAATGAATACAACTGATGAAGGGTTTTCATTTTCCTTCCACAAGAACTACAAACTCGGTCCGACTTATCCTCGGCATGCAATATTCTCTTTGCGAGAATTAACGAGCCCGTCTGCATTGAGGGCTGAAACAAGTTCTCCGTACCAATCTGATCCCCCTGAGAACCAAATTTGACACACAGACGAAGCGGGTGCCAGCTTGGCCTGTTATCAATCAACTTCGATTTCCGGAACGTCATTTTTCAGCCAATGGTATTTCCCTTCGTCTGGGCGAAGTACAAATGAAAATTTGTAAGGGATGGTTGCAAGCTCTCCTTTCCTCTGCCCCTCGCGGCTTCGCCGCTCGCTCGCGCGTTCTCGCGAGACCCGTTTTACTCGCCCAAACAGGAGAGCTTGCTAGCAGGCTAAAGACGTCAGACGTTTAATGCGTCTGTCTTAATTACCATTTTTATACTAGACGTTAAAGCCGTCTTAAGACGACTTTAACGTCTCAAACGACTTTAACGTCTCTAGCATAAAAACGGCCATTGTCTTTGTGTTTATAAGAGATGACAAGCTGCCCCGCTTGCCGAGATCCGGGTTCCTCGAGCCGACATCGCGCCATGAAGGCCACACTTTACTGGGTCAGCCCAGTAAAGCGGGCCAGCCTGGCTCGACTCATATAAACAGTGTTTGCTTAACAGTTTTTCCTTCAGTAAACTTAGCACTAAAGAAACGATGGTCGTCTCCCCAGGTTGGGCTCAAATTGGGTAGGGTAGAACAAAGAATATCGAGCTTTGTAGTAACAACGCCTCTTGTCTTAAATGTTTGTCAGGTGGGGGACTTCTTATTTGCGAGAAGATTTTAGATGAAGATAAACGAGGCCCGAAACGTGCTGTTCTTGGATCACTTACCATGATGGTTGCTACGGGAGGAAAAGAACGAACAGCATCTGAATACAAACATATCCTGGACAAGCATGGATTTATAGTAACTCAAATTAAACAATTACATCAGTCTTTATTTATGGACGCCATGTTATGTATAAAGAAGTAAAGTTCAATCAGTGAATCAGTGGTCTCAGCTGTTTCGCCCTATGTAAGGGAATCAGGATTCCGGAATCCTGTAGAATCCGGAATCTTAGAAAATTTTGCTTGTGGAATCCGGAATACAGCTGTAGGAATCTAGAATCCCACTAGCGATTGGAATCCGGAATCCAAGGTCCACTGAAAAAGATTTCAAATCCAGTAGTGAGAATCCGGAATCCATGGCGTGGAATCCAGGATCCAAGACTGTCTTGGATTCCCTTACATGAGGCGAGCTGTTTTTACTGCTTACAATTGGAAGCCGAGATCTCAATGCGCTCCGGGCTTCTTCTAGATTTTCTCGCCACTAGTCCTTTTCGTTTAAATGTATTAATCATTTTTGATATTTTACTATTACTATTTGTAAATGTTACAAGTGGCAAATGAATGAAAGAAAATACTATAAAATAAATAAAGTTCACAGCTACCCGAAAACACCTTTCTTGTCACCCTAGACGCGTCATCTCTCTACACTACCATTCCACATAACGAGGGCATAGATGCCTGTCGTCGTTTTCTCAATATTAGTATTTTTGATATCTTAGTGGTTATTTAATATTTACTGTTATTATTTTTACTTTATTACCGTGTTGCTCCAACAAGCAGGTATGCTAAAGTACTTTGACATACAAACAAAGTTATTATTATTATTATTATTATTAGTATCATAATTTCCTGTCATACATAATTACATACACAGTTACATACATACGTATAGTTTAGTGTCATCACACTTCTTCGCGCCAAGTCAAAAAACATTACTTTTTACAACTATTTTTTTCTGGTAGCAGGTGAATGGTAGTAAATGATACTTTCGTACTTTGCTTTAGTTAGCTGGTTAAAGCACACTCAGCGACATCGTGATTCAAAATTTTTTACGAATATTGATCGCTTACTGTAACAAAATGTATCCCGTTTCCCGGGACAACTAAGTGTATATTAGGATGAAAATCTTAGCTGACCAGGTAAAAAATTCAGCCGAGCAAACGATAAAAAACAACGACAAGATATATGACTGAAGGGGGGACTTTTCTGACTACCGACTTCCGATTTTTTTTGAGAAGTTGACTGACGTGGCTCGAAGAGCGAAATATATTTCGAGGATTTTAAACTTCTAGAACATTTTTATTTTTACATTTTACATTTCCTATACGTGCGTCGAATGTGGTAAAGACGTGATGTCTTATTTTGCAAGTAGTTCACGACTTCCGATCGAATTCCAACAGATTACTTCCGATCGACCCCCAACTTCCTAATTTTTAATTTTTGTTTTCAATTTTCCCATCTAAACTATAGTTAGCCTAACAGGCCATTTGCATTAAGACATCATTTTACTACTACAACCAGAATCCTTCATGGTTTTGCTTTCTTGTGCAAATTAGGGCTTTTGTTATTTAAACCTCACTGGGATTACAAAATTTAAATATGAAAGAAAAAACGAAAAGGATTCTGGTCGTAGTAGTAAAATGACGCCATCGTGCAAGTGGCCTATTCAGGCTCAAGTGAAACTTTTTTACCTCACTAGTTAAGCTCTCTAAAACGTGACCTTAGAGTAACCGTTTTCCTTCTTTTCTTTCTTTCGCTAAGGTTATGGAGTGCTCGGAGTATTTTGTGGGGAGGGATGAAAAACGAGCTCCCCTAAAGCGCCTGCTTGGGAGGCTACGGTAAAGTAAGATCACTCTAGCTTTTTACAAATGCATCTGTATGAAGCGGAAACTTGTGGTAAAAATCAAATACCCGGGGGGCAGGTTTTAAATGTCATTGTGGTCTCGAATTTACGTATACGACTGTGTTAATGTATTGTCTTTATATTCGAGTCGGATTAACGAGCACCTTTGTTTATGTGCATTTCTGACCTTCAAAACGTTGATTGACAATACACAGAAAAGGCTGAAAATTATGACGCAAGTTAATTACATTCGCAACTGACCTCTAGTCTCATGATCACGCTTTAGTTAAAAGATGAGCGAGGTTAAATACAACCCTGAGGGTGGATCTTGTCCTCTACCAAAGAAGATTGAAAAAATTCTCGATGGTTTCCGAGAGTCTAAAGCGTTGTTCGCAGCTTGTGATTTTGGGATCTTCGACAAACTCCACAATTCGTCGCCACAATCGGCTAAAGAAATCACGGAGAAAATGTCTTCTGATTTAGACGCCACTACACGACTCTTGGATACCCTTGTTGCTTTGGAATTCTTAGAAAAGTCGAGACAGGGCAATCAGTGGCTGTATACGAACTCTGAAATGGCCTCTAAGTTTTTGACAACTTTAAGTCCTCAGTCTCAACTTGGCATAATAAGTCTCATGAACAAGATTCTATACCCCCTCCATGGCAACTTAGAGAGCGCAGTCCTCGACGGGAGTATGCAGTGGGCGAACGCATTTGGAAAGTCGCCCGAAGACGTATTTCGTGAAGCAATTTACAGCACCGAGGAAGACAGCTTACGATTTAATAAAGGAATGCATAGCGTGTCATTCTCTGCAAGCTATGCAGTGGCTAAAGCCGTTGATTTAAGTGCCTTTAACAACTGCTGTGATTTAGGAGGTAAGTCAGATTTGAAGCCATATAACACTTAATTGTATTTTTGAAAATCTTGTCGTTTGACATTGTTCTTGCAGGGTTACGTCATCTCAATCTTGATTCTTAACAAATGATTTTTTTAAGATACCATAGGTTTTTTAAAGTCTTCGCATGGTTAGCAGAGCTGAAAGTGCACTGGTCTGCTGGGTGGGTGGCCCGGGTCCAAAGTCTAAAAAATAACTGAGGGAAAAGGTACTGAGTACTACCATTGCCCTTCAAAAAGCATTTACTAACAAGGGGGCAGAAGAGAAAGCGAAAAATATGCGCTTTCTGTGCATCCCCAAATTTGCGAGGCTGATGTTTTGGCATTTATGGCCAGTATTGGTTGTTCTCTTCTCAAAAGTGGCCTTACCTCATGGGAGAAGCTAAATCTAAGTGCATAACGGTCCCGAGGGAAGACTCCCAAATGAAACAGACGGGGATGCTCGTCGGAAAATTTGAATTTAACCCCTAAAGGAGACCATCTGGGCGTGGCTCAAACTTTTTGTGACCCCTAAAGCAGACCAATCCGGGCGTGGCGTAAGAAAATTTTGACCCCTAAAAGAGACCGCTTAAAAACACACAAATACGACATGCAATGAGTGTTAATGATATAAAGACATAACAAACAAAGTTAAAAAGAAAATTTGACTTCTCTTTCTCTTCGAGTAATTCTGTGTTTCTTCGCGGAACGCTAAACGAGATCTTGGCGGCTTAAAATATTGGCGCTTTGCCTGGAACACCCTAAGCGAGACCAAAATCCAAAATTTACACCCCTAAGCGAGACGACGAGCACCCTCGTCTGTTTCATATGGGAGTTCCCCCCGGGATAACAGTTATCTAACAGCTTTCTTGATTTTCTTTCCATGACATTATCCAGGAGGAGTAGGAACTCTTGCCTATGCTTTGTGTCAGTACAATCCTCAAATGAGGATCACAGTCTGTGACCTGCAGCCTGTTGTCAGCTTAACTCATCACCTCCGACCATCAGTAGACGATTGTCCCAATCAAGCCAACGTCTCTTTCATGATAGCTGATTTCTTCCAGCCTGAAACAATACCAAAGGCTGATTTGTATGTGCTTTCCCACATCCTTCATGACTGGCCAGAAGAAAAAGTTGAATTGATTCTTGACAACGTCTTCCATTGTTTACCCTCACGTACGACAGAAAAAATGTTTTCAATTATATAACCTAAAAGCGCGCGCTAAATTATCTATGCGCTGATGAGAAGAACCTAACAGAAGCAACAAGTTCAAATAAAGAATGGTCGGTGCTTCTTTTTGTGCCCAGAACCGTCAAGATTAATACACATTTCTCTCAGTCAAATGTATTTCAAAGTGTCCATGTGTTGTTTGCAAATTATGAATTGCTTGTTTGCTTGGCGACACCTTATTCTTTACAAGAGAGAATGAATTCTTTACTAGTACTAAAGCAAAAATAGTTGTGTCTTTAATTGAAGATGTGATCGTCGCAGTGGTAACTGCAATTTAAGCCGAATTGCAAATTAACCCGAAATAAATTTCGGGACTTCGACGAGATTCAAACCCATGGCCTCTGTGTTAGCGCTGCAGTACTCTACCAACTGAGCTATCAAGACCCATCAATTGGGAGCAGACCAATTTGTTGAGTTCATCTTAACCCGTGAAAGGAATGAAACATAGAATGAAGATGATATGGACGGCGAAAATACAAATTTTAATGAAAATACGATCGTCGCATTGTGTCTCTGAGTCGAATACCCACAAAAGTTTTCATTACTCGTCTTTTATCGATTTCATATCTATTAATATTAATTCGCAGCCAGGTTGCGTTCAAATTGCTGAGTGCGAAACCGAATTAAAAAATATCGAACTTTGCGGTTTCCGTTTTATGATTATTATTTATTTATTTTTATTTTTTATTTTTTCACTTTGAGGTGGGGGACTTCTCATCTGCGAGAAGATTTTAGATGAAGACAAACGGGGCCCGAAACAGGCTCTGCTCCAGTCTCTTAGCATGTTGGTTGCCACGGGAGGAAAGGAAAGAACAGCATCTGAATACAAACAAATCCTCGACAAGCATGGATTTATAGTTACTCAAATTAATCAATTAGATCAATGTCCTTTTATGGATGTCATCTTATGCCTAAAGAAGTGAGGTTTATTCAGGGTATGAACTGAGCTGTTTTTGCCTTTTGTAATTGAGATAGATGTTTATTCATTCTCTAAAGAAAGTGATTACGAGACTGATTGACATTCGAGTTCCCCCAACTGGATTCGAAACTATACTTTCTTTCTCCGATTGTTCAAAAGGTGGTTGGCAGCTATCCATCAGATAAGTCTCTATCCAGTGGATAAGTATTAGAGAAACAAATTGCACTATCCACTGGATAAAGATTTATGCAGTGGATAGCGCTATCCACCTTTTGTACAATCTGGGTCTGCGGGTTGCTTATTCATGATATCTTCCACCACTGAGCAAAACAGGGAACTTCTGGGATGTAAGGTCAATAAAAAGTTGTCTATAAACTAGGTTTAAGTGTGACAAACATTCTACGTACTACAGGGCCGGGAATGAAGCCTGCGTGCACGCAGGCTCAATGGAATGTCGATAGGTCGCATATTCCCCAGGCGTTCCATGGCCAGTTGTTCGAAGGCCAATTAGCGGGCTGAATTTTAATCCGGGTTTCTTTTGCTTTTCGTCCGAACATTCCAGTCCTAGTAGGACTATGAAGGGAAAAAACGCCTGATCGTAGATTGGCGGCACTTTCTTTGCACCATATTTCCCGTTCTTGCCCTATATTGACTCCTCCGTTTTTACATTTTTGCGACGTATTTGCAATACATTGACACTAAACTACACTACACTACTACACGGTTAGTCGGTCTCTTTTTTTCAACGTCTTCCTTCAATGATCACCTAACAAACTCTTTCCAAATTCCAATTCGATCAGGAATCGGGTAGACGAAGAACTACTTTGTGGATGTGTTATTATTATTATTATTACTATTATTATTATTATTATTATTATTATTATTATTATTATTATTATTATTATTATTATTATTATCACAAACATTGTTTGATAAAAATATTTTAAATGAACAATAAAACAATTATTGAACTCGGTTTCCATATGATATTAAGAACCATGCAGGTCTAAGAGGCGGGCTGTCCAGTCATCATCTTCATATCATACTCAGCCTCATTCAATAATTATTTTCAGAAAATGAAAGCAGAGGAAAAGTGCAATCAATAGTTTGATTAATATATTTCCCTTAACTTGAAATAATGAATGTGTGAGCCTGCGGATAAGGAAATAACTGCAAAGAAGATCAGTCCTCAGAGTTAAAGACGCAACTTATGCATTTACAGGGTTTGAATCTCTGAATTATTTCAGGCTTTCTTTTCGCAAGTGCATAAGTTGATTATATTCCTTACATTTATCTTTATGTTCTTTCTTTTAAAAGATTTGCCTGTTTCTCGGTGTTTGTGAGTATGAAATGATGTTTTTCCTTGGATGTTATCCAAGAAGCAATATCTTTTTGTGTATTCTTCTATTTCAATGTTCCGTTCATTTTTGTTATTTCCAGGGAGTCCCTTTTGATTTAGATTTGAATCCAGCCTTGAATGATAATGTAAACAGTGGAAAAACTTCACCTTCAGCATGTTCTTACGCAAATTTTTCATCGTTAGTCTTTATTGAGTGTTTCACTTAACGTCACTTCCACCATATTGGTGTTCCAAAACAATAAAACGGCGGCCATATTGGTGTTCCGTACCAATCCTGTGGCAGTGTTTTAATTAAATTGTATAGCTGCTGACCACGTGCATAGGACGACCCACTTTCTATGAAGTATTAAACATCATATGGTCTGAAATGAGAAACCAAAAAAGTTCAAGGTAACGAGCCTATTGTTTCTTTCTCCGGGATTCACTTTACTTTGCACAGGGGCACCCAACGTCGGTTTCTTCCTAAATGCACTGCTTTCCAGAGTACTCTTAGATCTCTAGAAATGCATTCTAAGTGGCGCTATAACATTTGTATCTGTTCGGTCATCCTAGGAAAGCTTGAGGCTTTTCGAAACTACAAGGGCTTCAGTGTTATTTTTCCGAAAAGTTTAGATACAATTGAACGTTTTACGAAAATGAGAATTTTTCTTATTCCTCACTCCATCATGCATTTTTCTGAATCCGAAAATTTTAGGTTTCCTTTTTCTACGAAATCAGCCTAACGTGGGGAGTAAAATGTGAAAAATTAAACTTCAGAAAATCGTAGAGAGTTCTTAGATAAGCTTCGAAAATTGTACCAGAATGAAACGCTCAACCAGAAATTTTTAGCCATGTTTGAGCAATAGAAAATTCTAGGCAATATTTGCTTCTCCGAACAGATATTTTACAGAAAACAGTCGTTGGGTGCCCCTGTTTGCAATAATCAAGAAGTTTCAATTTTAAGCAAAACCATTTCAAAAACAGTGAAGGGTTTTTCAAAAACGATGGTTACTTTCACCTTATCAATTCATTTATCCACAATTGGAAGAAATATTTGTACTTGATCGTCACACTTCTGGTGCTATTACGTCTTTTGTTTGACGGCCAGGCTTCACTCGCCGAACCTAATGATGATGATGGCCAACTGAATCTGTTGTTCTTGCTCATTAGCATTAAGTTTAGCTCATGCGTGTGAAGTACGGTGTTTGACCCGAGCGTTGGTTGTATACTATTAACCTCTAAGAGGGGAAAATACATGTTTTAATCCATTATTCGATTGGAAAACGACTCTCCGTTAACTTTCAAGTAACTATCATTATCGGTGATATCAACCAAAACACCTGATGTTACAAATCATCGCTCAAAGTTATATCGGACCATCGTTACGCCTCATCACCTGGTCTTCAATATACGTTTTGAATACATGCATATTTTAGAGTGATTTTACATCACTCATGAAACAGATACTAACAACTACTGCAAAATAGCTACGAGTAAACAAAAGAAGACAATAGAATTAGTGCATAATAGTGCGTAGTATTCTGCTACCTATTTCACGAGTTAAGTAAAATTTACATTGCTTTTGTCGTTTATGACTTCAAGAAATGATCATGAGCGATACAGCTAGATCGTTTAGCCCCATGCCTGAGAAGCTTGAAAAGTTTCTGGATGGCTATCAAGAGTCGAAGGTGTTATTTGCTGCTTGTGATTTTGGGATCTTCGACATACTTCGCAACTCATCCGTACCGCAATCGGCTGCAGACATAACCAACATGTTGTCCTCTAATCTAGATGCCACAACACGACTCTTGGATACCCTTGTTGCTTTGGAGTTGTTAGAAAAAACAAAACAGGAGGACGAGTGGCTTTACAACAACACTGAAGAGGCCTCCAAGTTTTTGACAACTTCTAGTCCTGATTCTCAATTGGCCATCGTAAGTCTGCACAACAAGGTAGGATACCCTCAACAAGGCAACTTGGAAAGTGCAGTCATCGAGGGACGCGTTCAATGGATGAGGACATTTGGAAAGTCATCAGAAGACGTTTTTCGTGATGCTTTGTACAGCAATGAGGAGAGCGTCCTGCGGTTCACTCGAACCATGCATAACATGGTCTTCTCTGCAAGCTATGCATTGGCTAAAGTCATTAACTTAACCTCCTTCAGCAACTGCTGTGATGTAGGAGGTAAGTTTTGTGCATTTGTCCATTCTAGGCCTTGCATTTTACTGCGACGTTCGGAAGGACTTTTTAGCGAAAAGGCTAGAATCAGAAGAATCCTCCAAATGTTCATTAAACTACTCCTTTGAAGCACAAAGAGAAAGTCAAAAATGTATTCTCCAAGCTGTGGATTCCGGATTCCACGCCACGGATTCCGGATTTCAGACACTGGATTCCAGTCTTTGTCAGTGGAACTCCAATCGTTAGTGAAATTCCGGATTCTTTGAGCTGTATTTCGGTTTTCATAGCCCAGGATTCTGCATTCCGCGAGAAAAATTTTCCCAGATACCGGATTCTAAAAGCAAATTTCCCGGCATCCGGATTCCCTTACATGAGGCGAACTGTGTCTCATGTTTGAAATACATCTATAGAACTGAAATACAGCTTGAGCTGGGTCCTATTCAGACTGGCCTCCATTCAAATTTTTGACGAGTAACCCCACCCTTTTCACATGGCAGTCACCCCATGTCTGTTAAACTTCAAAGTGTTGACATCGCCTGCGATCAGGGTCTCCCTGTATCTCTATTATGTCTTAAAAAAATGTCTTATCGCAGTTCACTTCCTTCTCTCAGTCCCCGGCCGTTCTTAGCCAAACCGTTTTCTCGTGCTAGTCAGCAGCCCTATGCAACGGTGTTTTCACGGACCAGTTTATTTTTAGAACAATTTTCCAGCAAATTTTAAATATCCTGTGCTAGGATTGTGACGAAAAGGAAGACCAAGCCACTCCGGGATTTTCATAAATACAAGCTCATCCCAGGTCTTCCGCTATGAATCTGAGGTCATTTTAATAAAACTTTTACAAGTGTAATTTTCAAGTGTAGCTATTGTTTTCAGACTCCAAAACAATAGCTACACTTGTAATTAAATTACACTTGTAAAAGTTTTATTAAATTGACCCCTGATTTTCAACAAGAACTCACCAAGCCTCTCTCGCACAACACAAATTTAATTATAATTTCGGTCATTACGATGAACGTAATAGCTATCGTCTAGCGCTCCATCAACTGCGCCTCGCTAATATCACCCACAATTAGCCCAAAGGCAGATGACATGTGGTTTAACTGATATCTGAATCTTTTGGTCAAAATTATGAGACGTGACACGGCTTTAAAATGGAGATGAGTAATGGACGATTGACAAATGGCCAAATATTTGCCCAAATAATAACTGCGTTTCGGTCCAACATCCCATCAAGATCCATTCATCTGCTTCCAAATTTTTTACTGGTATAAAAACAATGGTTTTGATTTAAGATTTATAACATAAATAATGTAGGTAATGCATGTACTCACGTGGGAATACTGAAATTAAGTTGTTGTTGTCGTTGATTTCATTTTTTTTGGACACATCCAGGGGGAGTAGGAACTCTTGCCTATGCTTTGTGTCAGTACAATCCTCAGATGAAGATCACAGTCTGTGACCTGCAGCCTGTTGTCACCTTAGCTCATCACTTCCGACCATCAGTAGAAGATTGTCCCAATCAAGTTAACGTCTCTTTCATGATAGCTGATTTCTTCAAGCCCGAAACGCTACCCAAGGCTGATTTGTATGTGTTATCTCGGATCCTCCATGATTGGTCAGAGGAAAAAATTGATTTGATTCTTTCAAATGTGTTCCATTGTTTACCATCAGGTAAGAAAAACAACAACATCATTCTTGGTACTGAGTTGCAGTCCATATAATTCATTAATTATTAGTGAAAGTTATGACCAATAACTCGATACTCACGCTGACGTCACCTATTGATGAGTGTGCCTATCAGAAGTGCATTGGTTCTTGTAAGAAAAGATTCTTTGTTTCACTCGTTACTCGTATGCATGCTTGCCGCCTCAACTCCCAATACAAATCAATTTGATGTAAACTTCTACTAGACTTATTAGCATTCATTAATTCTCTTGCCTGAGAAAACAGCCGATATTTGGCGACACTACCGACCACTGCACTGGTTTCCCCGCCAAATGACTTCTGAGAAACGAGCGCAGAAATTCCATACTGATGACGCGTCACTACCCAGATCTGGGCACGGGCAGTGCTTCTGAAAGGTCGTGCCGCGTGGGAAATTTTACTCAACCAATCAGAAGCACTACCCAGATCTGGGAAGTGACGCGTCATCAGCATGGAATTTCTGCGTTCGTTTCTCAGACGTCATTTGGTGGGGAAACCAGTGGTAGCGTCGCCAAATGTCGGCTGTTTTCTCAGGCTAATAATTCACAAGTACGATGAAATGTTTGCGCCATTGTAAATGCCCATGCATACAGATCTCATACCTGACTTTGAAAACGGATTATCCGTCTCTAGTGTGAAAACAACCATTTTATCTAAAAAGGAATTACTATAGAGTCACATGTATTTTGCGGACTGCAATTACTTTGTTCGTTGGACGTCTGGAAAAGCGGGAAACCGGAATCCGGAATAGGAACGGGAATAGGAACAGGAACAGGAACAGGAACGGGAACCGGAGAAGGAACCGGAATGGGAAGAAAAACCTATATAAAAACAGGGACAACATTTACCTTAATTGAAGTTAATCTGAATTTAATTCCTGTCCAGATATACGAATGTTAAGGGAGAATATGGAATAGGAACCGGAATAGGAAGGGGAATATAAACAGTGTATAGAAATATGAAATGAAAAAGATATAATCGTGATATAAATAAAAAGCCAGGGAAATAATTATAAGGAAACAAGAAAACACCCCTGAAATGTTAATCTAATAAACCTTTCTTTATCTTTAGCCTATGACACATTAGGGCCATTTATACGAGGAAAAGTAAGACCAGTCTTACATAAGACGCGTCTTAAATAAGACGTGAACTATACCATTTATACGAGCATGTCTTATCTAATACTGAGACGCGTCTTAGCTAAGCCGCGTCTTATTTTGGACGAAATGTGCCGTTTATACGGAAAGTTCGCGTCTTGTTTAGGACGCGTCTTATTTTTCCTCGTATAAATGGCCCTATTGTGTTTTCGTGTCAAACATAGCGAACTTAAGCAACGAGAACGCTGACCGTCGCTTGATGGAACGCTTCTGTCTCACACAACGAATCTGAATTCTTCCTCTTACCTTCCACTGTGCGAATTTGTTGAGTCAGAGGACTGAAAGACAGAAAACATCCACTTCCAGTTTCAATTTTTGATGTCCTGGACGTCAACGTTGTGGTTGCTTATTAAGGTCCCTATTGCACTCGGTTGAGGTAGATGAAGTGCTGGCTGGGATGGGGATGGGGGGGGTAGGGGAGGAGGCACGTGTTAATACCCTTTTTAAGCTGTGGACTATCTATCTTTGGTTAACTTCCCAATTTAGCACAGTACAATATATCTATGCAGCAAACCTGAGGTGTATGGCAGCCCAATAAACATCTCCGATGGGTGTCTCGTTTACACATGGTCTGACAAATAATATTAACATGTGATAACCTCCTTCCTGCGAGGGACAAAAGGAACCTTATGAGATCTGACAACGGCAACGCCAGCGAAAACGCCACTGAAAAATTGAATTCGGGTCTTAATTCAAACTATTTCTCATTAATACAAAATTGTCCAGTGTTTTAAAGGTTGGGAAATGAAGCTGGAGACCGCGTCCGAGCTCAGAAAGAGACAATAAAATTTATCGCCTGCTGTTCACGTTCTCAAGAGAACTTAAGATTTGACCATTTACGTCGTAGTTGTGCATAGACGGTGAAGAAATTGACAGAAAGCGCGATGCACTCGCAAAGCTGTTGCTTTATTTATTTATATTGCGGCTTTTTCTACCTTCTTGTTGCCGTAATGTAAAGAGATTCGGGGGGAGCATGATACCAGACTAGTTTTGTTATTTTTTGTATAAATTTAATTAGAATTAAAATAATTTAAAGTAAATGATGTCCCTGTTCTTGGATCGGTTCCCCTTTACATTACTGTTCCTGTTCCGTCGCCGTTTCCGGTTCCGGTTCCGGTTCCGGTTCCTGTTCCCATTCCCGTTCCTATTCCGGAATCCGGTTTCCGGCTTTTCCAGACGCCCTTGTTCGTTCGACAGTTGTTTGTCTTGTTTGGATAAATTATCTCCCCTAAATATAATTACAGTACAATTGTGCACTTAGCTATATGGATTAGTTTAAAAAACTTCACTAGCCACTTTAAGGGTATGCCAATACGAGTAAAATAAGATAAAGAGCCGTAAGAGATAAAATATAAAATAACACAATGGAAAAATTAATCATCTCACTGTGTTTGAAATTCGTTTTGTTCAGTTTTATGTATCAGAAAGCTATCGAGACCAAAGTTTAACTTTTACTTTCACGTGTGTGTGTGGCAGCTTCATCAGTTGACAACTTCCGTTTGGCCGCGGGCTAGAACTGATTCGTTGTCCTAAAGCTTCTCAAAGTACTGTATACATTTGTATACATTAACCATGCAGGTTTGGCTGATTATCACGGTGATATACTTTTTTGTCTTTAAAGGAGGTGGACTTCTCATTTGCGAAAAGGTTTTGGATGAAGATAAAAAAGGCCCCAAGCGTGTTCTTTTGCAGTCGCTAATTATGCTACTTTCCACAGGAGGAAAGGAAAGAACTGCATCTGAATACAAACAAATCCTTCACAAGCATGGATTTATCGATATTCAAGTGACTCTGGTCGAGGACTCTCCTTTGATCGATGCTATTCTGTGTAGAAAGAAGTAGAGTTAAGAGGCACCTTTCAGGGAATGAAGAGGAATGATCATCAGTATAGGAAAAACGGAAAGTTTCGGGCTGGAATGATCGAATAACAAGAATTTTCGAATGAATAATAAACACTCCATTATTTTTCTTCACCCCATGAAACTCTCTTCATTTCTCGTAGTTTTGAATTAAAATCTCCGTTAATATTGTTAACGTAATATATCAAACATGAGACGCAGTGTTTCATGAAACACCGAGAAGAGAGTTGAAAATACGACGCGCAGCGGAGTATTTTTGACGAACTTCGAGGTGTTTCATCTGGTGATGAAACACTGTGTCGAATGTTTGATATTTCTTCTCAAACAAAATCATTTTTGAAGGAGAAATTCAGGATGCAAATACTGAGCAGTTTTTCATCCGATTTCCAAACACTCATTAAACATTAATTATACCATATTTTGGATGTTCGAAAATCCTAGGAGAGGCAGGCAAGCAAGAAATTTTACAAAAAATGTTCCGAAAATTCTAGATCTCAAATCGTCCTCCGAACAGATATTTTCCGAAAATTGACGTTGGGTGCCCCTGTTGATAGTTGTAACTCCCCATCTAGGTCGCGAAGTTGCTCATTCGTACTCAGATTTAAGTATTGTGCAAATTAAAGGTAAAGACGGATCGGGGCTACTTTTGTCCTCTTTACAAATTATTGCGTATTACGGCCACAAATTTATAGTTGAGATGCATGTTGAAGTCATCATGATTTTAAATCCAGCGTGAAGCCTCAATTATGGATGTATTATTTTTATTTCTACCGTTTGTGGATGAATGAGTACATAAGGTGAAAGTTTACCTGTATAGAATATAGTTTTTAAGAAACCCCTTCAACTTTTATGAAATGGTTTTTGCTCAGAATTTACAGGCACATTACTATAAATAACACTGAGAGAATGAACATTGATAGCAATTGCCAGTGCATCGCTTATTACTACTACATGAACTACGGCAATGCATGTCAGATTATATTGACAGCAAAAAGCAACGTACACTAAATATACTATTGAATTCCAGCTGCATCGCTTATCTAAGGCTACGTCCACCCAATTCGGATATTTTTGTAACCGCATTCTTTTGACACGAATCAGCCCAATCCGTCCACACGAACTTGTTAGTGAATCCGTTGACAGATACCGCATTGTTTTGAAACCGCTCCAGTCTCCAGAGCAGTTGAAGGCTCTGTCCACACAATCGGGTCGCAGACATGTCCGGATTCGTGTGGACATCGCTTAAGACAATTTAATGTATTTAAGCGAGGATTTAACCGATTTAGAATCAACCTTCTCAAACTCATTAATAATTCATAAAGAAAATACAAAGAAAATTGTCCATTTTTAACGGAGTTTTACTCTAAAAAGGTCACCTAGAATTTTCGGGAGCCTTTTTTCTTGCTGAAATTTTCGAAAGGTAAGTTTTGATACCTACAATTTTCGGATCACTAGACTTTGACCTAGGAAATCCGAACAGATGAAAAATTTTTAGGGGATAAAAATATCCCTATATCTACCGTTTAAATACTAAAATACGTTTAACAATGCTATGTTTAAGTGGTTTTGAACTATATTCTCGTTGGGTGCCCCTGTATCAATTCGAAAGAGACGCTCAGTGGACGTTATTAGTCCCCGGGGTATCTGGTCGGTTCGCCGGATAGCAATTCGCCCCGACTAAGTCGATTCGCCCGAAGCGTATTTGTTGTTCTTTAAGCCTGAAAAAGGGATTAAGCAAGGAAAGACAGTGACTGTACATGTGGAAACCAAGGGTAACTAAAATAGAGCGATTTTCGTATGGCCTTGAAAACTGGTTTCGGTAAGTGTTTGTTACGTTGTTTTATCAGCCGATGGATGAAAAGAACCAAACATGGACTCTTCGTTTTCCCGCCAAAGAAAACCCTAATATGGAGAAGGCATTGTTCGATTGGCCAATCCTGTTGCAGTATGACGTCAAAACGATTTCTAGAAAGTTCTTCGGGCATGAAGTTTTTTCAGCCGAGCGTTCGCTTAACCAACCAAAAGCCAGGTGCGTTTGTATCCGTTCGATAAACCAATCAAATCGCTTTATTTCCGTTCGTTTGTTGCTTCTGTTTTGTTCGCAAGTTTTCATTTCTAGGTCATACGAAAATCGCTCTAACATCTCGAAAGGTATTTTCACCATGTTGTAGAGTGTTGTATGTCATTGGGCGAATAGACTAACGTCCTCGCGAACGCCATTGGGCGAATCGACTTTCAGGCGAATCGACGGCAATTCGTCCCCCGTGTATTGGTCTCTCTCTCATGGCTGGAGTTACTGTTACAGGCCACAGTAATTGGCCCCACGCGAGGTTTTGCGGTGAGCCTGCCAAGAATTAGCGAACCTATCAAGTAAAAAAATAAATATTAAGTAAATAAAGGTCAAGAGGATGCCAATGGATATTTACATGAATTCCTGAGACAATGAAACTACAAATTAACCAAGTTTATTCCTGTCTGCAGATTTCACTCCGGCATCTCTTTTTTAACGTGAGTCATGAGTTCAGAAAGACTATACAAATCATTTTGACTTTCATGTTGCTTTTTTGAACAAAATGTACTCTTATGTCTCTGAAGATATGCTGCTTGACTAAATGTCTTGTGACAGACATCACAAACAGTTGGCTTTTTATCTTCATCGTAACATTTCTCGCACGTGAAACGTTTGTCTATCAGCCGCTTTCTTTCTCGTCTGTTAAGTTCTTTGTAACTGAAGCTTCTGCCACACTCATCGCATGTTACAACCGTCATCTCCTTTGCATGCGCATTCTGATGAGTCCTTAAAGTCGAAGCCTGACGAAAATTCTTACCGCACTGATCACATGTAAACGGTCTCTCTCCAGTATGCCTTCTTATATGAATCTGGAGAACCTCTAATCGACCAAAATTCCTTCCACAGTAGCTGCATTCAAACGGTCTGTCTCCAGCATGCGCTCTCTTATGCCTGTACAGAGCTGACGCTTGACTAAAACACTTCCCACACTCGTCACATTCAATACGTTCTTCTTCACCTGAATGAACTTTTAAATGTCTCCTAAGATTCGCCGGGTGAATGTAACTCTTCCCACATTGATCGCAAATGTTCTTCTCCTTTTTCTCAGTTGTATGTGCCCTTATCTTGTGCCTTTTAAGACTCCATGACTGACCAAACTTCTGACCACACTGGTCGCATGTATAAGGCTTCTCACCTGTATGTGCTCTGATGTGCTTCTGTAAAGTTTCTGCTCGATTAAATCTTCTGCCACACTGATTACAAACATAAGGTTTTTCTCCTGTGTGAATTTTCTCATGTCTGCTGAGTAGCCCAGATTTGTTAAAACACTTATCACACTGTTTACATTTGTAGATCTTTAGTTTATGCTGGAAGGAGTTCTCAGTGCTCTCATTCATTCTGTCTGTAAGCGTCAAATCTTTGTTGATCCTTAATATAAGAAGAAGAAAAAAAATGTCATACTATAATTCTATAAACTAAGCGATGATCACTGCTTGAAAAATAAAATACAATTTCCATCATAATGCCCAAATCAGTCTTTTTTATAACATTGTATCAGTGCTTATCTTTAAGCGAAACAAAAAAAGGAACCATATTTTGTAGAAGATGGCACTCTGTATACAACAGCAAAATCTGCTTAAAAGGCATGAACTCTGGATCTATGATCTGTTAAACAAGGTTCAAGAAACTAGAATTTTAACCACACTTCAGATATCACGTGGCAAAGGAAACCTGGGATATTTTAGTGGTCTACAACTGTTAGAGACCTACTTACAGAATATGAACCAGTTTAAAAAGCTTTTCTATATACTTTAGCTTCTAATTCAGTTCATGTCCGCTGTGCATATTATGCTACTTATTTTTCCACTTGAGTTTTATAGATTTTAGTAGGTGAACTATCCCAGTGAGTCTTAAAACCGCTACCATAAACAAAGGCAGGAGCTTAGCTACTTGCCTGTCCAGTCCGAGTATCACACTTAATCCTTCTGTAAATTTGAATTGGTTATATGTTTCATCATCATTTCGGGAGCAGTAGAACATTCTTCAAGTGAGGAGACTGAGGAAACTTCCCTCTTAGTAAGTCTTTATTTTTTGGAAAAAGTAATCAGAGGAGCATTTAAGCACCATGCCCTGATATCCCTGTATTTTTCTTTTTCTTGTTTATAAACAAGAATTGGGAGAATCCATCCTAGACTAAAATCAGTAGATCATATAAAGCACTGAAGACGATTTCATCTAAAATGTAATATATTCTTTAATATGTGCAAAAAAGGCAGACCGACTTAGTTTTTCTTTGGCTGTGCTAGACATCAGTTTTAAACCACATATTGGCCACAAACTCTTTATTTCATTTTTACCTTTCCTAGGCCAGCTTCATTCCTAACCTGGTTTTATAACTGGTTTTGTTTTATATCTAATCAAGATATCATAATAGGACCTAAGTCCTATTATACAACTAATCCATAGTAAAGTTAAAAACTCCATTAATAACAACACTGAGGGGGCCAAAGAGTGTGGCCATATTTATGGGGTGTTTGTATTAAGTGGGTTGAATTTAAGGAAACCATAAGAGCTAGGGACAAGGAAAACTATCCATAATAAAGAGTTGGCCGTATTATGCGGGTGTCAGTAAAGCAAGGTTTGACTGTATGTACAGTGTGTACTCCATATTTTCTACCCAGTCTGTAGTCCATAGTCCATAGTCCGCGGTCCGCATTTTAAACTTGCTGCAAACACAAGGTTCATTTGTTACCCCAAAGCAGTTTTATTGAATTAGTGCCATTTGCGATCTCCAAAATAAACTTGGAGAAAACTGTCGGTCGATCAGATAGATTTGAGGGCTGGTAGTTTCAATAATAGGATTGATTTGCAATCACGCTGATCCCCCAGGTAGTTTTTCGGTTGGGATTGATCCCCTCAATTCACCACAGGGGTCCCGGCCTAACAACAGCCTACTGGAAGCCAAATTACAAGGATTTGTACAGGAATTTATCGTAAGATTGATAAAAAGGTTAAAATGTAGACAAACAGCTATTAAAATATACATACCTCATTAAGAGTTGTGTCTGTGTTGTTTTCTTACTGTTTTCAGCCCTATGAATGCCATTTTAGCAAGTTTTACTGTTTTGGTTTATCAACTACTAAGAAGAAAACAAGGGAAAACTCGACTGTCCTACGCTGCCCGAAGAAAAAGCTACGAAAATTACCTTTCTTCTACCCCAATTGCTCCAAACCTTCACTTGAGCATAGACCAAGGATTTTCCTTTCTTGAAAAGGTCAATTAATTTTAGTTCCAAACATCAAACCATGGCCTTGAAGAGGACAAGAAATGTACCTAAAAAATTTAGCCTTAGCACTTCTGTGGAACCGCTCTTCTTCAAAGTGAACTACCAATGGCCCTTGCTCTTGGATGAGTAGCCACGCTGCACGTTCAAAATCCCCTCAGCTGGGATGGACAGGGGGAAAATCAGCCCATACAAAACAAGATTCACAGGGGTGCCCAAGGAACTGTTCACTCATTCATTACTAAGAAGTGGCGGAAAAAACACGGGTCCCCCTTGAGGGGATTTTGAACGTGCAGCATGGCTACTAAGCCAAGAGTATCCGTCATCGGTAGTTCACTATGAATAAGAGCAGTTCCATGGAAGTGCTTAAGTTTAAATTTTTTAAGCTCTTGAGGCCATAGCTTGACGTTCGGAACCAAATTGATGTGTTCAAGAAAGGAAAATTTTTCAGTCTATGCTCAAGTGAAGATTTGAAGCGACTGGAGTGGAAAAAAAGTAATTTTTGTAACTTTTTCTTCGGGCAGCGGAGGACAGCCAAGTTTTCCCTTGTCTTCTTCTTAGTAGTTGAGAAACCAAAACACTAAAATTTGCTAAAGTGGCATTCATAGGGCTGGAAACAGTAAGAAAACAACACAGACACAACTCTTTTTGAAGTATGTATACTTTTTAAAGTATACATAAACAGCTATATATGTACATTTTAACTGTTTATCGATCTTACGATAAATTCCCACACAAATCCTTATAATTTGGCCAGTAGGCTGTTGTGAGTCCGGGTCCCCTGTGGTCCTGGGGAATCACTTGAAGTACTATTTTTTTAATAGAGACGTCGACTCAGGCTTGAGTTAAACATGTCCTCTTAACCTGACACGTACCAGCCGGTAAGACGGTAAAGTCTCTTAAAATGATATTTAAGGGCTTAATTTTTTAACGGATCGGAAAGTGCATGCCTTTTTACAGTCATTTTCACAAGCAAAAGTTCAACTGATCTTGAATAACTGATGAAGAAAAGGAGATTAAACTCGTTCAAACGATCATTAATGTAGCCCTAACATTAGCTTACTGTACAAGTTACACTAGCTGTCAGTTTCCTTACCTTACGTTACAAGCAGGCCTGAGTTACAAGTGAAGAAACTTCAAATTATCCTCTAAAGGATTGTGAAACCAAGACGCCAATCTCTGGAATGCATGTTGTATATGGTACATGAAATGCACCATGAGTTAAACATCTGACCCAGGGGCGCGCGGGACTTTTAACAAAGTCAGCTGAATTATATGAAAGAAGATCATCGCATTTTGACACAGTTTTTCGCAGTTGCGAAAGAAAGCCAGAAAAAATTCAGGCTTGTACGGGATTCGAACCCTTGACCTCCTGGGTGCCAGAGACTTTTCTAAGCGCGGTTTCTGTCCGGTTCGTGGCTTCGGCCTACGGCCGAAGATGTGTCAGCCTTCGGCCAACGCCGAAAGGTCCCGCCGCCCGCGAGAAAAACCTCTGGTACCCAGGGTACTGCAGTTCAATGACTTCAAAGATGCCACGTAGGGAAAACGAATATGCTGCAGAACGTAGGACGGACAACGTTCTGCGCATATTCGTTTGCATTCTCGTTTTGTCCAAGTAGTACATGAAAGAGGACGTGGTCAAATTTTTTTACTAAAAAAGCAGGTACACGTAGCAGGTGGTACCACTTGGGGATGTGCATAGAGAAATGAAGAATACACGAGAAAAAAAAACGAGCCATTCAGTGAAAGTGGCTTCATTGTCCTTATCTGGCTGTCTTAGAAAAGTATCTTTTAGGGGTCAAATAAAGTTTGAGTCACACCCAGATTGGTGTCCTTTAGGGATTCATTTCAATTTTCTTATGAGTATCTCTACCCTTCTCACAAAGATCACCCCCCTCTCATCCCCCCTGGTTACATATACCTCTCCCAAGAGATAATGTGAGCATGTGGGGAGGGAGGAAGTATTACTCCCCTAAAAATGCCCATGTTGAAGGCTAGATCAGAGGACATAGGATTACTGTCAGTTTCTAAAGAAGACAAACACATTCAGATGAAATATTTGAACTCAGTGCTCTCAATTCTTAAAAGTTGAGTCAGGGAAGTGGCTAGACAAGTTTACAAAAATCTGTTAACTTGTTCCTCTGAAAATATCTCTTTACTACAATACTTTCTTACTCTGCTGCCTTGGTGACCATAATCTTATAAATGAAAAGATAGACTTGCCCTTTCTTTCTTCTAATGAAAAAAGATATTTATGACTTTAATGGCTATAAGGGAAAGTTCATTTAATATGACAAGGGGGGGGGGGATGAAGATATTGAGGGGGGGCTCCGAAAATTTTTAGACACCTGATGGGGGGACTCTTAAAAAATTGTTGTGCTAGGAGGGGGGGCTCCGAAAATTTGTATACTTCAAAACCAACACATGACATCATCATACAGATCCGATGGTTTTCAACTCAACAATTTAATGACCTGTGCAACAAAGCTATATCACATGGTTTACAGATATAACAAATGTAGTCTCAGTAATTATTACACTCTTGTTCATCCCAAAAATGCTTTAGAAAATTGTATCACAACTGTATCTCAAGTTTGTCATAGTATAAACCATTGAAGACAATAACGGTAAATATATTTAATACAGTCTAGCGATCTTTTTTCAGGGGAGCAAAGGAATTGAAGGAGGAGGGGGTGGGGGGGGCTCTGAAATTTTTTCGACTACCAAGGAGGGGGCTCCTAAAAAATTGAACCGCTAGCGAGGGGGGCTGCTAAAATTTCAAGCTTCGAGTTTCAATATCTTCATCCCCCCCCTTGTCATATTAAATGAACTTTCCCTAAGTCTCAGTAACTCTGACACGGATAATAAAATCTGTTTTATCTGAAATGCTAACAATTCATAAAATGTATTGCCAGAATTAAGCAAGCATAACAGAATTCACCACCAGTCAACTTTTTTTGAGTGATGAGGTCATGAGAATCCAACCCAAAACAGCCTGAGAAAACAGCCCACAATTTGCAACATTAATTTACCACTGGTTTCCCCACCAAAATTTGGTGATTTAATGATGTCTGAGAAATGAGCAAAGAAATTTCATACTGATGACGCATCACTACCCAGATCTGGGTAGTGATGTGTCATCTGTATGGAATTTCTGTGCTCATTTCTCAGACGTCATTTGGTGGGGAAACCAGTGGTAGTGTCACCAAATGTAGGCTTTTTTCTCAGGCTAAAACCCAAACAGAATTTTAGGAAGTCCAAAGAAGACACATGTAAACACTGTGATCAGATTTTATATTTTTAATGCCACAATACCATATATTGGGTACAAAAAAACAACGTGTCTGTCCTTACAGGTACAGACACGCCTCTCGTACTTAAGCTGGTGGAGATTTACACCAAATCTGATTTATATTACAAGCACCCTTATAAAATTAATATACTTGTGTCTTTATTTTATTAAAGATATATGGATGTCAAACAACAGAATTTGGTTCAGTTTCAATCATCTTCAACTTCATCTCTCTTTTGCTCTTTATATTTATTTAACATATCCACACTTTCTTTCACAGCCTCTATCTCTTTATACTTGATGTATCTGCATACCTCCCTGTAAAGAAAGAATGTAAGATTTACAATTTTACTTTTATGTGAAAGGTGTTGAATAGGTATTATAAAATAAAATATATGGAGCTTTTTCAATAAAGTGTATCCACTTGAACAAGGTCATCTGATTGTAGATAACTTTATCGAGTAACTGCATGATTCATATTCATGAAACAAACTGAATTACTATGTGAAACAAAAATTCCAGCAAAAGATCTTTTAGGATACTAGAAAATTTTAAAAAAAATGTTTTAGCTGCAAAAACTTTGGCATAAAGCTGTCTTAAAATAATTATGTTAATGCAGATTTTTTTTTCAAACCCTACAGATCAAGCCACTCCAGAAACACACCCTGATAAAATTTAACAACCTGTTTAAGGAAAAGACCCAAAAAACCATAACCTATGGGAGGAAATTACTGCTTTTAAAATAGGCAAAATAAGAAAGCATAACCCTTGAGGGTTTGATTATGTCAATTCCTTTGTTTTGCTCCTGCACTGCTTGTGATATACCCTCAGTTCCTTTAGAAGCTTAACCCTGTAACGAACAAAAGGCAATTTACCAACTTCCAAATGAAATTAATGTAAAAGAACCAACTGCATAGCGGCATGACTTCAAAACATGCACTGCAAAGAAAAAGGCATATATAAGACCTGGTTCTGAAGAACAGAACTTTTTTCCAACAGACAAAAACTCTCCACTAACATACACTTAGATTTAGCCAGAGTTCAAAGCAACGCTCCTGCTAAGGCATTTTAAATTTACCTCAGTCAATGGACTTTAAACCACTGCAATAAGAAATCCAAAAATCCATACTTAACTTTAGGGGAGAAACATACGACTGAAAAACATAAACTTTAGCCTGTGATCAATTAAGAGCTAATAAATGGTCACGTGACTTCAATGAGTGGGCACCTGAGCAAGCGATACAGTCATGTGAGTCTGGTTAGTGGATACCCTATTTTGATAGTTGTCAATTGACCATAATTATACGGCTGTCTATTATCAAGTTGAATATAGGTTACAGGCTCCCACACTACACTAGCCAGAAAGACTGGTTACCAAGTGCTACGGACAGACAGACATACAGTCATGTGATAACCAAAATCTCTTCAATGGTTTGATTACAACATTTTCTTAGGTATGGGGCTTTCCCTGGGGGGCATGCTCCCTGGGGCAAATTTCACATTTAAGTCTTCTGAAATGGCTATAAATGCATCTAAAACTGACAATAGTAATATAAATTTGTAATTATTACATCGGCACTTAAAACAACCAGTTACAACCTGGCCCCCACGTTAGACTGAAATTAAAATGAATAGACTTTGAAGCTAAACCCAACACATGCAACGGTTTGAGTGTCACACGGACATTTTTAAGTCGGATTCTCTGAATGTGGCCAAAGTTGCCTCTCCGATTGTCATTAGGAGCTACAAACTAATTGGTAACAGCTACAAGACAAAGTTTGTCTGTTCTCTGTTTGTGGGCGTTCAGTATTGTCAGATTACTAAACCTTGTTTGTGTGGTAAGTGACAGATCTGGGAAACCAAAGTATGTAATTAAAAAAAATGTACCATCTGAAAAAGTAAGGGGGGGTTGGGCCACAGCCCCACCCCCCTTTGCAGTTCCTGATGTATACAACACCCCATGTAAGAGAATCCAGGAAATATTTGCTGGTGGAATTTGGAATCCACGGTAATTTTGATGTGGAATCCAAAATCCTGACCTTTGGGATTGGGAACACAGCTTAAGGAATCCAAAATCCCACTAACCATTGGAAACCACAATCCAAGTTCCACTAGAAAGAATGGAATCCAGTACCTGGAATCCAGAATCCAAGACTGTCTAGGATTCCCTTCCATGGGGCGAATCAAATAAAGATTTCCACAACAATCAACGCCACCATGCATCCGATCCCCTAACTCTCCTCACTGTATAAAAGTTGAAGCATGATCAAACCTCCAGCAGAAATAAAAGAACTTTTAGTTTTACTCACTTGATTTAATAAAATAACCAACGCCAACCACTGAACCGCCGAGAATTCCATACATCAAAGATTCACGAACACATGGCGTTTTCTGGATAAACTTCTTCACATTCCAACTATACTACGTAACGAAGAAAGTTATCAATAACTCTTTAGTCAAATGTAACAGCGTTTAATCAGTGTCTTCTAGGAAGCAAGTAGTGCAAACCTGTTTTTTCTCATCCGAATTGACGACGTCGTCCGCCATTTTGACTTTTGTGAAATGCTTATGTAATGTTTTTGGTCAGCAGTCATTACCATGAGGAATATGGCCATCCATAAATTTGACAGTTCAGTTGTTATCACTCCTGTAACAATCAAATTATCTCAAGATAGTACGTAGAATAAGCGAAAATGTCTTCTTTCCCAGTTGTGTTAAATGTATACGATATGGTAAGAAAGAATCATTTTTTATTATTAAGTAGGCCTCCACAGTTATGTTTATAATGGAAAGAGGAAGAGGAAGTTGTTGTAAATTACAAGCCAGCTTTAAAATATTTACGCAATTTTCCGTCTTTATTATTTAAATCTTTCAGTATTGGATAAATCACTACACCTTTCCTGTCGGTCTTGGGGTTTTTCATTCAGGAGTAGTTGTTCATGGGAAAGGTTAGTTGAAGTCTTACAAATAACCTCAAACTGGATAGGTATGTATGTCAAGTGTGACATTGTTCATGAACAGCTGCTGGCAAGGTGCATTCCGGCATGGTACATTGTCATTGAAATTATTGTTTTTGAAAAAACTTCCTTTGTTCTTTAATAGTCTTAATTTCGAAAATATGAGTTATGCTTTGTTCTAGCTGTTGGTGCAAAAGGTTTTAGGTTCAACACCGTTCGGTAATTCCGATCCCAGTTTTTACTACAGATAAAACCGTGGATCAATCATATATTTTTTGTATTTTTGAGCGGGTGAAATTTATCGGCCTGAGCTTTGCTCTAGCTAGGAGTCTAGCTACTCTTGTGAACGATTTTTTCGAAAAATAGTTCTGTTTAGCTTTTGTGGCTTTTATTAAGTGTAATTATTCTAAGGAAACCTTTGTTTTTGTCTGTATAATTTTGTGGTATTCATCTCAGAGCTGTAAAACGTTAAATGAGAGGGAGAGCTATTAAGCAAGGATGTAGTCTTAGAAAATAATAATAATAATTCTAGGGACCCCAGTAGTACAGTTTTAAACAAAGATCGACTGAAATCTAATGCAATCACTTTATAACTTGCACTCTTGACTTCACAGCTCAGTAGGGTCATGTGAGTGACCATCTGTCAAAAGTGTGGTATATACCCCTCAAAATATCAGAATTGAAAAGGGTAATACAAAACATACAGTGCGTCAGACAATTCTCAGATTTCAAACTGAAAACAGTGCCATTTTATTGTGCTGTGAATATTAAGAAAAAATGAAGAATATGCTCCAAGTTGCAAAATCTCTGATCTGCATATCATAATTTATAATGGCCACTCTAGCATTTTTTTCATAAAGTCACTTACAATTTTGCAAACATTAAGATAACTTGTATCACCACTAAATAAAATTTGGCTTTCCTGCTAATTATCTCATGCTTACTCCTTCTCTCAGGTATTGTTGAAGTTGTATCCCATAATGGCAGGTCATGTGCTATAAAACTAAAGGTTCTGTTGAAAATCCAGATTTGCAGTAACTTTTGGTGTTTATTCCCCAAATATACATGCAATCAGTAGGTGGGGAAATGAACACCTAGGAAGTTTTTTGGTTCTATTTTCCTTTTGAAAATAGCCAGGGAGTTTTGCTTATTAGTCTCATAAACTGAACCTTATAGCTCTCACAAGAAAACACCCATATCCAAATACCAGAATTAATGTCATGCAAGTCAAAGCACAGTAAATCACAGTAAATCTTGACATTTTGGGCAGTTTGCCTACTAGAAGTGTTAACTGAGAGTGTAGTTATTTCTTTCCTGATACCCATATTGGCTTGAAGGACAGACTGTAAACCTCATATAGACCTGTACTACTTGCTTAGCTAGCCTCAGTTTAAGCCATTGATTATTTTGCAGACATTGCTTGACCATTGTTTTTGTTCTGCAGAGTATGCATTTGGTGGTCATTCTTATAACTGGTCAGGGATATTTGACATGACACCAAAAGCTGTTGACACACTGGGAGAGGATTTCAAATTTAGGTTTGTTAACACCCATCACAACCAGTCTACACTTTTGGTATTTCTCTCCTCCTAAACATCTATAATATGCAGGCATCATGCAGTCCTCCATGCAAAGAACATGATCTAAAATTTGAGGCTACCATTGATCAGTCATCCTTTGACTCCCAAGGCAGATATCTTAATTAAGGCTTCATGACAGTGGGCAAAACTTTTTTGGAATTTTTTTTAGGATTGTAGGATTAGATGGAAGGAAGTACCTGCGGATGGAACCAGATTTTCATGGACAAATTTTTGGGTCAAACTTCAAATGGCTTTTTTGCCTGTTTCTCCGGCCTCTTTGATTGAATCATATGCTCATTTTGGTATGGTTTGAAAGATCCCTTCCCAATGCACAAGTTAGGTATTGACAGTGTTGTCCTTGACCAAAAAGGGACATGTATGGAGATCCCCACATGCAGTGATCAGCAATTCAGGGACGAATGGGTCGATGTGTTTATCAGTTTTAGCAGAAATTGAAAGGTTTTTCACAGGACTGAGTTTATTCATTTATTATCAAAATAGGGAAACCATTACAATTGGAACAACAAGCCTTTTACCCAACGAAGTGGAAGATCTTGTGAGAAGAATGGGATTAGATTATACAGGATGCTCTTATCATCTAATTGACAGGTATATTTTACATGTTGAACCCCGATTACTCCAAACGTTAAGAAATCAAAAAAATTTCGAGTTATTGGGAGTTTGATCAACAAATAACCAAAGAAAGGAAATAGAATGGAGGAGGAATGCAAGTATCATGCACACTTCACTACAGGGGCAGCAAGAAAAATATTGCTGTTGTGATTTCAAACGGAATTAAAAAAACAAAGCTTGATTAATCGGTACAGGGCTAAACATTGTATTAAATTGGACTAAGAAAAAAGTAAAGACAAAGAATACATGGTTGTTTTGAAATAAATTCAATGTGTGTACTGGAGTTCACTGCTTTTTTCGCCTTGTCACACACTTAAAACCATGGTTCAAGTACGTTATTGAGGGTAAAATTGTATCTAGATTGAAATGATCTGAAGTGAAACAAAAGTTACTTTGAGTTAGTAGGAGGTTCGAGTTACTGAGGGTAAAATTATAGTAAATGTATGAAGGAAATCCAGGGGAAATCAACTTTGATTCGAGTTAGTGCGAGGTTCGAGTTCGCGATGGTTTGAGTTTACCGGGAGTCAACTCCCCATTTTAAGTATTTTTAGAAGATGCAAAATAATCCAACCAACTTTTAACATTCTTTGAATAACACATATTTGTTATCCTTTTTAGGAACTGTAACCATTTTACATCAGAACTTTGTCAGGTTAGTAGTTGCCCCACTTAACCTGTGACAAGTTATGCATTCTATCTCTTCTCATTCCTTCCTATCGTCACAAGTTCTTTATAGTGTAGCACTTTTGTACATCAATAGGTCATTATTGATGAAAGTATTTTCTTTTTTTGGTATTATTTGTAGGTCCTTTGTAACAAGTCAATTCCTGGATGGGTGAACCGACTAGCCTCTGTTAGTTCATATTTACCATTTCTACTTAAATGTCTTCCCAAAGAGTGGATCAGTCCAGAGCCATATTCTCCAAATAGCCCAGGCTTTGTTTCACATCCAATTTTTCAAGGTAACAAATACCAAATGATCAAAGATTTATTTTTTCGGTAAATTATAAGCACAAAAGTCAGATTGCACCCAGATGAACTTTTGACTGATATTGAATTTCCAGGATACTGTAAATTGTAAAATTGTAATAAAAAAAAGTGTAATTTGTTTACCCGTGAAGCACTAAGGAGTTCTTGAGAACTCATTGAAATGTGTCAGTGCATTCCAGATTGAATTGGAATTTGGAAGTGTTTGTTTTTTGAGGAGGGAAACCGGAGTACGCAAAGAAAAACCTCTCGGAGCAAGGGAGAGAACCAGCGACAAACTCAACCCACATATGGCATCGATGCCAGTTATTATAAAACGTATGCAAACTGTCTGGATTTATGTGGGAGTCTCCATAGATACAGCACAAATCTCCTGGTCTCCTGCATAAGTCCCCATTAATTTCCAATTATTTTGTCATAACAGTCATGGAAGCAACTGCTGCAGGTACATAGGGCCTTTCTGCACCAGCAGACAAAATCGGAATTGTCTTTGAAACATTTAAACCAAAAATTTTATGGTGACAATTTTTGTCTTAAATAATTACATTTATCTTCACAGGCCGTTACATCTGCCATTTCACTTGCATTTGTTAATGGAAAGAATAACGGCTTTATAACAAATAATTGACGAGGAAATCACATTTTTGTTTTTTTCAGTTGATTTTGTCCACCATGCAGTTTTTACCCTCCCATCTGGGACAAAATTTGTAAAATCAGGACAAACCATCTGCATTTGTTAAGCATTGGTGATGACAGGAAATTTGTCTAAACAAACAGCTTTAAAGGATTTTTTAGGCCCATAAAGATACATGTAGATTTGTGTGTTTTGGGGGGCCAGGTGTGGTGGGTTGAATGTAATTAATTTCTTAAGGAGAGGGTTACTGAGATCTCCAGAGCTAGGCATCCCTGATAATATACAATTTCAAAGAACAGGATATGCGACTTCAGACACTGAGACAGAGCTTGTGTTTATAAAGAAAAAACTTTGAATAAAAAACTATGCATCATTCTAAATTAATTGTGAGTGAGCTGATGTTAGGTTTATTAGCAGTTAGTATGTCAGTAGCTGTTTTCATACATGTTTGCTCAAAGAATTATTAGGATTTATATTATTAAACTCATTGACAAATTTTGCCGTAGACTTCACTGGCTCAGTAGATCAAGAGGATGACAGACAGAGAACCAAACACAGTTGACAAGTAATTGAAGGTGATATAAATCGAACTGCCTCAGAAGGACCATACGTTGTTTGATCAAGTGAGCTCTTACACTGGAACTGCTGCTATAGCTTATCGCTTCAGAAAAGGCATTAATCCTCATTTGAAGAAATGAGGAAACGTCTTAAAAGGTAGTAAAGTAAGATGCAATTAAGAATGGTACTGATAGAAGCAAAGTTGGTGATCAGTGAATTAAAAAAAAAGTAAAATCATCTAAAATAACATGATTAACAGAATAATGTGTACAATGTACAGTCTATACAGGATATTCATTCCTGGTGTGCATGGAAGAGTTTGAAATATTTCCTGTTGATTGAGCACTGCACATTTAATTAATTACTTCAAGTTAATAGTACTTTGCAGAGCGATTTAGTGAATTCTACTGTTAATATAATTTTCTTATAAGAAAGGACATGATATTATAATTTTGGGCCCTATTTTAGTTGGGCTGACACTGTTATTTGCATCTGTGCTCTTCTGTTAGCCTGTGTCGCAGATGTAATTTCACCCCCGGTAAGTATAACGTCAGCCAAGCAGCACAGAAATCTTTGTTCTGGGCCCAAGACGGATTCAATGAATTAACAGGAATGCATTTCGAATTTCCCTTCAGCCTGATTGGCAAATCAACAATGGCTTTTTGAACCCTTTATGTCCCAAGAGTGACCAACATCAATTTTCTCCTAACAATATCCATACAATGTCAAGAGATTAGGTTATGAGAATTAACAAAATGATCACCTAAGAGACAATGCTTTCATCTTTTATCAATTTCTCTCAACCCATCCATGAAGGAAATGTATAGAGATCAGTTTGGAGAATTTGTATGTGGATATTGGGGCTTAAAGGGTTAACAGGCCAATCATGGTGCATACTCAAATCCTTGTACACAGGTGAGGAGGGCCGGCCCAGAGCAAGGATTTGGGGGCTGATCGCAGATGCACTTAACCAGAGTTTAGTTCCGTCTGCGGCGTAGGCTACTCTTCTGTTTGGTGGAGCTCATTATAAATAATTTCAGAAAATACGCTTATTGCACGTAATTCTATTTAGCACAATTGCTATTCAATTCAGTTTCAAAGTTGTTATTTTAGATGTAAATCATTGCGTCCATTATTTATTATGAAGAAATATCATAATTATTTATTTCAATTTTCAATGTTAATATTGATTGAGCTATTTCAGTCATAAGCATTTGCTGGCTTACAGAATAATATTTCTATTTCATTTTCAAATTTGTAACTTATATTTAAGGATATATAGGAGATCCTAGTTGCCTTATCGCTCCTGATGGAGATTTCACTGTTTCTTTACAAGCCCAAATTTTGCTGACTTTAAACTAACCTGCATGGCAGGCGTTCGAAAGCGAAGGGGAAGAGAACGAGGGCGCGAGACCACACGCTCTTGCGCGCCCAAATTCTCGCCCTTCCTTCCCCTTTAACGCCTGCCACGCAGGCTAACTTTAAACAGAAACAGAGAGATATGACTTCACCAATGTATAGGATGATTAGGTACAAACTGGAAAATCAGGAGTGTGTTGATTATTTTTCCCCAGTGCTTCCAGTCTATGACGGATCCAGGTGATCATTCTCATCATATCAGAGCTCAAATTTGCATGCACTGTTTATTGTCCAGATCGGTTAGCAAATTAAACAGTTTTTGCTTAACTTTCCCCCACACAAATAAAGGAGACGTTTAGAACAGAATCTGATGGTTGGTAAACAGTAATATCCAAGACTCTCTGGGATTTTTTTCAAAATATAAGAAATTCATGCTGCAATATATTTCTTCATCGTTGTTTTTTTTCACAATGTAATAGTGCTTGCTAGGACCTTTAACCATTAAACCAGAAATCAACACACAAGTTAGCACACTTTATTTTCATCGCAGGATTATTGTTTTACTAGCAACTGTATTCAATCCTGTTCTGTTAAGGGGTCTTGGTTAAAATTAACCATCTGTTTTGCTTTTCTCATTGTTCAAAGGTTTTCTAATGCTTGAAAGTAAAATTAATGATTGGACAGTCAGTTTTAAATTTGAAATTTTATACAGTCTGTGTATAGTTAAATGTCAGGCGCTGTAAATCATTAATCACTGTACAGTTGTTATGTCTTTTGGTCATTGTAACATTATCACTGTGTAAGTTGCTTGACAGTTTTTTTTAAATAAAATAGAAATGAATATTCAGCATTCAGTGAGTTGATAAACAGAGGCACAGGTGAATAGAATGATTCCAAAGCTCACAATTCAAGTGCACCTAGCCCTTTGTCCAAGCAAAAACTGTTACCCTGGCTAGTTTCCCCTGCATCTTCTCTTGTGATTTTGGTTCCATTTTTATTAAAAGAAAACCTGTTTTATTAAATGCTTCAAAGTGCGACACCCTCTGAAACAACCATCCATCGTCATGTTAAGGCCATTGCCATGTATCTACTTTGCAAGACATGTTTAATCTCAGGGGATGTTACAACACTAGACGAAAAATTTTTCATGCAGCTTATAGGGCATTGCAGGGAGACAATTCTGAGGTAAAAATTGCTTATTGTACTTTAGCATAGAAAGCAGAAGCACTCCTCAATTTGCAATATCATCATCAAAGTATCTTTCCTCTTCATCTCTCTCTCTAATTTTCAAGTCATCATACTCATCATTTGTGTCAACAGTGCTATAATCAAACTCCTCCTCTTCACCTCGCATAAATTTATCTTGCATGGCACTTAAAAATTCTTCATGCAGCATCAGTTTCTCTTTGTCTGTAGGACAGCCTTTGAGGGGACTCCCTGACTCCACTACAAGAAAAGAACAAGAATATGAGAAGAAATGGTGTAGAATAGGTCTTTAAAATTAAGTATCTTTGAGAAAAATGAATAACTCAAGAGGCATTCTACATTCTCTGCGATAACTAGTAACTAGCCATATAACGTAAGGCCTTATATGCACTTTTGATCAGCCAGCCCAAGAAGATGATCCTGGAAAGCTCAAGATACACCTCCAAAAAAATTCTTCCTTCCTTAAAAAGGTGTGCTATTTTTGACCAGTTGAAACGGCAACAGTTTTGAGAAAATACCTGCACCTTGTAAAAGCAAACTGCACAAGGTTGCCTTATGAGTATTTACTGTTACTTGCCACTACTTGCAATTGAAGCAACATGTACTTTCTAATAGCATTGTTTTTCTTTGTATAATCTCCATGCAGCCTTCACACAGTTGGAAAATAAATTATGCACTTGTTTCTAGGAAATGTTAATTCAATGGACTGACCAGTGAGTTGTTTCGCCATCATCCCATTGGCTAATGTCTTTATTTGTGCTGCACATTCCTCATTCTTTAGCCGTGACACAAAAAAGTGTGGTATTCATGTATATACTTGTTCTTTGAGCCACTGCTCAGGCAAAAGAAGTGAGAGGACTGGCCTAACATATTAGTAAAATGACTTCAGACGTTAGTGAACAGGATGTTTGCAATACAGCTTGAAGGCAAAACAACCATACATGGTGGATATGTTACAAATCCCACCAGCCTATCCCTGGAGAGGGATGCTTGTACCAAAAAGAAAAAGCAATGCAATCCCCCTAAACCCATCTTAAAACTGGCAACACAAGCATACACAAATTCCACTGATGCTCAGTCATGTCCACAAATTAGAGTCCTGGGATGGCCACTAATAGGTGCAATAATTTTTATACAACTCACACAAATAATGAAGAATATCAATCACATGAGCTATGCATACACCCAGACACAGGACAATTTCCCATACCCAACTCACAATATATATATATTTCAATGTAAGGAAGATCATTGCAGTTGAAGATGCAACTTGCATAAAGTAAGAGCCTGAAAAAATTCAGGTTTGCTGGCAAGCCTAAATTTTTTTCAGCCTTTAAGATGAATCTTCAACTGTAATGATTTTCTTCATTTGTAAGGATGATGCAGAGATATGAGCAGGAAAAACAGCAGGCGGGGTGGGATAGGGGATGAGAGCAAACTCTCTCCCACTCCCTCTGTTTCTCCTTATCTTCTCCCGCACTCTCGCTTTGCACCACACCCCACTGAATGCCATGAACAGGCTAATACATTACAAACCAACAAACCAATTACCAATTTCAAGTGAACTATCACTATCTGACTCATCCTCTTCTTCCTGCATACAACTTTCCTGATCTCTGTGATATTCTAGTAACCAATCATCCATTTCCTTCTCTTGTTGCCTCATTAGAATATCAGAAAAATTAAGATCATCTCCCATTTCCGCTTTGTCTCTCTCGAATTTTTCTTCCTCGGTTAAATACTGCCCTATGTATTGTTCGTATAGCAAAGGAGATCTCTTTCTCATATTCTCTTCGCTGAAGTAATCAGAATCCTTCATTAATCTTTGAAGGCATTCATAGCGTCTATTTCGAACTCCAGTTTTACTCTTTTTGATATCGAGGATATTTTTCACTTCTTTAATGCGAAAGTCTATTTCATAATCGCCCTTTAAATGATTAAAATTTCCCAGATCGTCTTCGGTAAGATGTCTTCCAAATCTCATTAGAAAAGATGAAGGACTCTTATCCAAGATTTCCTGCAAAATTGCAATTTTCTCATCTATAGTAAAATCAGGTTCTCCCCTTTGTTGGCTTTTCACAACAACGTCGCTATTCGCAATCCGGGAGAGCATATCTTCCACCCGATTCTCAACATCTATTCCTGTTGACGAAGACGCCATGTTTCTTTAACAAGTTGGTCCCAAGCCTTCACGGTGTAAGAAGTCTCGTGACCGGAAATCAAAAGCAAACGTAAACGAACGTAAAACGCGGGAAAATTCCGATTGATCAATAAATGATGATGTTTTCCGTCACATGATACTCACAAGATCATAGCTTAAAAATACAACTGAAACCGGTGAAACAGGCTGCATGCCAGCAGTTCAGGGGAATTTAAACTATCTGGGCAAGCAAACAAACATTTCCTCACTGACATTTGACCGAGTTATATATAGATTCTTAATGTAAATGTTTTATTCCTAAAAGATAACTTTGATCGGGATAACACGGTATAAAACGACACAACTTTGGTCAATAGTAATTTCAAACTTAATTTTTAATCCACATACATAAAACAGAATGTACACTATTTTGTACAAAGTTTACATCAGAATCCAATAGCCTGAAATATTTACATGCAGTTTTTCTTACTCGTATCCGAATATTATGCAACCTTTCAAGTTAAAACAAGTTTATACTATGAATTTACGGATCATTAATAATTCACATACTATGGTGGGCACCACCTACTATAAATGTCTCCAATGAAACAATTCATTGTGTATAAGCTCTACTGGCTGTTTACAGTGACTTCGGCTGCTCCTAAATTACCGAAAACAAATTTTCTTTACATTTTCTTTCTCTTAAACTGTGCAAAAATATATATTTTAAATCATTAAGTACCTTATTACACATTTTAATATACGCGAAAGAGCGTTTGTCCATTCATGCGATAACAATATTATGATACAACAACATCTTACAAATAGACCGTAACTCATTTAAATGACAGAATTTACAACTTCCTATGAACGAAAAGGTTTAAAGTTCCATACACTGATATCCAGTCCTCGTTAATAATAACATTCCACATTATAATTTTTCCAGCGATCGTCGACAGTCAAATGTTTCCGCCTTTAGTTTCACTTTGCAACGTAAACAAAAGGAGCGAGTCTTTTAGAGAATCCAGTCACGCTTGCCTATCTTCCAGCGAAGCGGAAAGCTTGTAGCCACATCCTATCTCTTTCACTTAAATTTGACATCGTAGATACACCAGAAAAGTTTGAAGCGCCAGAAATCGTACGGATCCGTTTTCTGCCTTTATACGGCATCTGCCATGTGGTCGGTTCCTCCACGGACATACTGTCGAGTGAATCAAACGATTCTTGACTAGTTGTTTGGGCCTCTGTACATGAACATGACCTGCCTTTTCTTCTCAACTTCTTTCTTCGAATCACAATTGGAAAACAGCCTCCTAAGATGAACAGGAACACCAAGAGAACTCGGGAAATGAGCGACATCGTAATGTTACCGTCTCTCGACAAAGCCCGCCAGTTGAAACTGAAATGCTAATGATATCGTGTCTGCATATTTATCCGTCACTACAGCGACCTTTGTACCAAAACAAAATGACGTCACCGATAGAAAAGACCTCAGGCGGGTAGTATTAGTGTATTAATAACTGACTGCAAGTTTGAGAGAGTTGGAGAAACAAGTCAGAATAAATCCTGGTTCAGAAAGAAAATGGATATTTTTGTGAGTGTTTTGAATGTGTTGTATATCCTAATTTGGAGGGTTACTAAAAGGATTCTTTTAAGCGGAAGTAATTCTCTCTTACCTACCCCTACTTAGGATTTGCCAGTGCGAGTCTTGGCGGGAATTCATGAGTGGGACATGAGTGTCTTGTGACATGCTAAATCGGCTTGCTGTCCTCATGACTGTTTATATTTTAGTTTTAGGCAGATGAAAGTTAAACAAAGAAGAACAAATCGAAGTAGGTGAAATTTGGATCATTTGGAAAAAGGAAAATGACGAAAATATTCACTATTCTAGACATTTTCTTCACTGTACGTGCTTTATGTCATTCATTATTACCAGGGTGCAAGAATTTTTTTCATTCCGCGACATTAATCCTGTTTGTGCAGATGTGCAACTTTTGTTTTGCATGTTGATGATCGCTTTTTTGCCGTTGGTCATCTGAGAGTGACAAGGAGAAAATAGCTCACCTCGTGACACGTGCAGTTGTTCATTGGAAGGTCGAACAAGGGTATTTTACGACCTTCGTAGTTCTTACCCTGCGGAGATCAATGAGATGATGCAAAAAATACAAACAGTTACAACGACTCATCGAGTTATAAAGTTAAGTAGAGGCAAAAATACTGCAAAAATAACCCGTGCGCAGGGTTTGAAAAA